GAAAACAGTACTGAACTGTTACATAATATCAGTCCTACTATATGTGAGTGAATGCTGAACAATCTCCTCAAAGATGAAGAAGAGAGCTGAAGCAATAGAAATGTGGTTCTACAGAAGGATGCTGAGAATACCATGGCCTGAACATGTTAGCAGCAACAAAGTTTAAAAAAAAATTGAAACAAAAAAGAAACTAATAATTAGTTGAAATTTCTAGGGCACATAATGAGGAAAGAGGGTTTGGGAAATTTGATATTCTCAGGATAGATTGAAGGCAAGAGGGACAGGAAAACAATGCATAACTGACCTAAAGAGCTTGAGTAAATGAATAGTGGAGCAAGGCTTAGAAGAGATAAAAAATTATTAAAAGGTACAAAGGACAGGAAATTGTGGAGAGCCATGATTTGCAACATCCTGAAGAGACACATCACATAGAAGAAGAGTATTAGTGCAAAAGTGAACACAGCACACTAGGACACACCTTGAACTCATTTTCGCACCAATAGCCATTATGCGACCCATACATCCTACTGACTTCATTATCATCTACAAATTGTCTTGATTCAAAATCCAAATCACTGCCAAAGTAAGAAAAGCCAGGACAAAGCAATTTCTCTTGAGATATCCAAGGGGTTAAACAAATATCAATTCCTAAGGGCAAAGATGACACTTGGAAAAGAAGTGACAGCCAAATAATACAAATATGACAAAGTGGGTGGAGAAATCCTTTCAAAATCTTGCCTGATGCCAGGGTTGTTGTGAAATAAATACAACCTATTCAAAGCTATCTGTATCAGAGAGGTGGGTTAAGGTAAGCAACTTCACTGCACAAAGAGATAGTGTTATATATCAGAGGCTATCAGAGAGGCTGGATGTAAGCAGTATCAAGTTACACACACACACACACACACACACACACACAAAAAAATGTTAAAGCCATTTGCAGGGGCTGCCAAAAACAGATTTAAACCAGCCATGTTTTTCTTCCTTTGCAGCCCCCCAGCCATATAAGACACCATCTATGGCTTCTTATCATAGACTTTTAAACAGTCTTTTTCAACTTGGTCGATTTAGAAACACATGCTTATAATTAAATACAAAGAAAAAAAATATTCCACTTCATTATCTATCAGAATTTTGATACTGGAAGAAAGCATTTCGGAAAAGAAAAATGATGTAAATGAATATTTGGGAAACAAAAATTTGTGGTGAAATCTTTAAATATCTCCATGTTTATTCATACTATTTTCAAAACATCTGAACAACCAAAATGCTAGTTAATGAGATGGTCTCACATTTTTTTTTGCTATTATAGTGAGATCAACTGTGATTATTTCCCCACTATTGTGGTCTTGAACCAGACTTGATTAAGCTTAAAAAAATAAGCCCAAGGTACAAGATGTGAGTTTCATCTTGATTGTTATTTTACTTTTGACTTTAATGATTGAATACGACATTGACTTGGGATAAAAAAAAAATTTAAAGAGGAAAATCAGTCAAAAAATGAACAATAAAAACATTACTACTCTGAACTGAAACAATTTTCCTTTTAGTGTTTTTAAATTACAAAGAAATCCTGTGTATTTTTATCTATAAATGATTATAGGTGTTTATTAATTACAATGAGGGAAGAAGTTGGACTATTACTTTGCTCATTGTGCACATGTGTGTCTATACATATGTACATATATATATTTCTCAAAATTTATTCTAATTGGCACCATGTGATTCTACTCATCAAGTTACATATGAATCAGCATTAAACAAGAAATGCACCAAATCTGCTATTATCAGGCTTCCAATAGTTATTAATATTGCATGTTAGTAATCTAAGTAAAGGCATGTTTTACAGAATATTTTCTTTATGAAAACTCTTGAATGCTCAAGCTAGTAGACACAAATTCACTATTAAAAAAGATTTCTGCTCATATGTGTATCCACTAAATCTGTAGTAATAAATTATGGTGGCAAATTATAAATAACATCCATTAATACCTTATATATGGCTCATCACATCTCAAATTGATCAAAGGCCATGGGTGACCCTCTCAGAAAAATCAGGATAAATTCATGGGCATTCCTTAATCAAAATTATTGATAAATTCTAAATATTAGATCTGTATTTTTAATAGTTTTAAAATCAGGCTTTCAATGAACTTCTGACAATCTTAGATCCAAGGATATTGCATTTGCATATTTGAAACTTGGTGACAATAATTAATTTTTACTTTTAATTAGAAAAATATGAACAGCTCAGGTGTGTCTTATATAGTTTTATTTTTATAAGGACCTGAAAATAGCCAAAAAGCAAAAAGATGACATTCTTTATATTTTAGAATTTATTGTTTAAATTTTAACTTAATTTAACTTTAACCTTAATTAGTTTGAAAAAAAAAACTGAAGACTTTCTTAAAATAAGATGAAATAATAAAACCATAATAAGAATTAACTTCTTTCAATTTAAATTTTTTATTTTTTAAAGTGAATATTACACTGCACTGAAAGTGTTTGCATTATAGATAGTATGATATGTGAATATTCAGGCTGTTATCTAAATGTAAAAAAACTCTTTCCAAAAATTTCTTTTGACTGTCTATGCCTCTTGTATGATGATTAATGTAATAAATCCCAAGCAATTTGGATATTCTGCCTAATGTAACATTAATGTTTTCCAAACTTACTGCTTCCTTTATCTTTTCAACTTTACAAGAATTCTGCTATTAATGCTTTCTTGGAGAAAAATGAAGTTGAGAATAATTTTGGCTTTCTATTTAAATATTTCCCAGTTCCATTTTTCTTGTGCCACTTTGCTTTGATGAAAGACCAATGTTAGCACCTGTTTCTGCTAATCAAAAGAAATTTAAAAAAATGCAAAAACAGCATTCAGAGTTTGCTTTGCAGCAAATCAGTATAGAAGCAGTGTATACATTTAGTAACAAGTTTGGCATCACTAAGCTCCTTCCCTGGGAACTCTGTACAGGATTAAACTATGATAACTTTGAATTGTTTGTAAGTGTTTGTGCTTTATCTCAATTTATTTTGTGCATTTGTTAGCAAGATGTGTTCTTAAGAATCGGAAAAATCTCAAATAGCTTGTAAGGTTTTTATGCTAGCATAAAACTGGATGTAATTAAACATTTGGCTCATAAAGAAAATAGACATTGTGGAAATATTGAATTTGTCTGCAGCCACCATTCCTATTACTTATAGAAAGAATTTTGAAAGCTGCAAAAGTTTCTCTTGATTCTCTTAATAGAAAAGTAGTAATGGATAAAACAGTAAGACTATTATTTGAGTGAATTAATGGAGGCACACAATTTGTTAGGGAACAAAATGTACTGTATACCTATACCCAAATTGTTTTTCTCTGGGCTGCATGTTTGGAATGAAAATTTGCTTGTGCCTCACCAAAGGGAAGTCCTGTTGAAAAGGCGCCAGCAGCCTTATGGCAAAGAAGGTCCAGAGAGAGAGGGTTAAAGGGAGATAACCACGGATTTGAAGTTAGAGCATTATCATTGATAACTCTCTCCTCCAATATGCAGAGCCTAGTTACTATATTCTTAATATTTGATATAATGCAAAAATATCACATTGATAAAATTGGTTAATAATTATTTATGACTATTTATATTGCAACTCATGCATGCAATTACAAGTAATACATAATACTATTTTAAATTTCAAAATCATTTTGTTTTTGGTATATAAATTTTTTTAAAACTTTCTAAATCTTTGATTGGCTTTCAATCATTCCACCTCACTCAATCTTCTGCTGCACCTATGAGGTGCGACACACTGTTTGGGAACCACTGGCCTAGGGTATGATGGCCTGATGGAACAGATGAAATTTATATCTTTCCCAAAGGAATAAGTGTGAAGCAAATGACATTGCCAAATTCAGATTCCATTTTTTATGTCCTGACTATTCTTAGAATTAAGTAGAAAAGATAGTCACAGGTGGTAAAAGTTTATTTCTGGGAATGGTTAGATATTTTCCCACATAAATTAATAGCAATTACTTTCCATCATTTTGGCTTGAAAAAGGTTTTATAGGAATGCAATCCTTTCAGAGAGACAAGGGAAACTGCCTTCCAAGGCATTAATTAATGCTGTGCACTATGAAATAATTCTTGGTTTTCATTGTTCAAAAATAATTATTCAAAAAACTCACTGATTAATTTGATAAGTGGCTTGCCTCATAGATACTTACTTATTTTTCAATTTATGCCAATGGCCAGATGCTGAATTTTCTAGGCAGGAAAGCAGGCTTTTGTTGTTTGAAAATTTGGCATAGCATAATCTTCTCATCTGTATTTGGCCTGTGCCAAACTTAGTAATGCCAAAATACAAGACTTTAAATGCTGATCTTTCAAGGCAGGCAAAACCTCCTCAACTAGTATATGGTTTTCCTTTATTCTTGTAGACTCCTTGTCAAATATAGTCACAAAAAAGCAGATGTTACTGCTGTTGTTGCAGTAGTAATTGATTTTTTTTACAAGTTCAGGATTCTAAACTGATGCCTGAAATAAACTGCCCTTTTAAGAATAAAGAGCTCCAAAGATTTACTGTTTACCCATAGCTGCAGGGACAAGTAGAGTCATGCCTCTCTCAGTTTACCAATTTCATTCTCTGTGATATTAAGTTCGGCCAACCACAAGAAAATAAAATAAAAAAATTGGCATATTTCCATTTTCATCTGGCCTTGAGCCAGACTAAGTCTAGTAAATATTTAAAGATGTTAATAACAGAGGGTGGTGTGGAGGCTTATCTGCCTGACAAATTTTCCCATGAATTGAGTATAGAATCAGCAGTATTCCTCTTCTAACAGGTGATTCTATTATCACTTGTAGCATTGACCTACTGACAAAATTTCTCTCTCTCAAATTTCACCTACTTTCAGCATGCAACCAGAATGCTTTTAAATCATGCTTTTTAAAAACAAATCCTTCACTAAGAGATTCACCACCCTCTGGTCTTCAAATTTAAGAAAACACTGATAGAGGATGGAGGTAACTTTTTCTCTAGTTCTCTCCTGCTCTACTCCCCTTGAAGCTCTCGCCTCCTTTGCTTTTCTTGTAGCTCTCTCCTTCATAGCTCTCTCCTCCTCTGTTTCCCTTTTAGCTCTCTCCTCCTCTGTTTCCCTTTTAGCTCTCTCCTTCTCTGTTTCCCTTTTAGCTCTCTCCTCCTCTGTTTCCCTTTTAGCTCTCTCCACCTCTGTTTCCCTTTTAGCTCTCTCCACCTCTGTTTCCCTTTTAGCTCTCTCCTCCTCTGTTTCCCTTTTAGCTCTCTCCTCCTCTGTTTCCCTTTTAGCTCTCTCCTTCTCTGCTTCCCTTTTAGCTCTCTCCTCCTCTGTTTCCTTTTAGCTCTCTCCTTCTCTCTTCCCCTGCCCACTGTAGCTCTCTCTCCTCTTCTCCCTCCCCCGTAGCTCTCTCTCCTCCTCTTCTCCCCTCCCCGTAGCTCTCTCTCCTCCTCTTCTCCCTCCCCGTGCTCTCTCCTCCTCCTTCTCCCTCCCCGTAGCTCTCTCTCCTCCTTTCTCCCTCCCGTAGCTCTCTCTTTCCTCTTCCCCTGTACCTCTCTTTCTCCTCCTCTCCTCCCCAGCTCTCTGCTCCTCTTCTTCTTCTCTTCTCCCCTAGCTCTCTCCTCCTCTGCTACCCCCCCCTGTAGCTATCTTTCCTCCTGTTTTGCCCCCCCCCCCTCCGTAGATCTCTACTGATGCTCTCTCCTGCTTTGCTCTTCTTGTAGCTCTCTCTTCCTCTGCTTCTCTCATAGCTCTCTCCTCTCTCTACCCAAGAAAGTTGAATGTTATTAAATGAGCCTGTTATCAATGAACTTGTTTCTTTTTTGAGAGATGAATGAAGTACCATCCCTAATAAAAGTGGAAAGATCTTATAAACATCCTACCTACCCCACCATTCTTTGAGCTGATCTTTTGGTTATTGTTCTGTCAATTTTGACTGCTTCTCAAAATATTTGCACAAATGGTTGACTTTCTGAAAACATTTTGGAAACTTTTACATGTTGCTTTAAATAAGCTTTATTCTTTTCACATTCATTTCTTGCTCATATATCCAGCAGTAATGAGGGGGAAATGATATTGATGGGGAAGTGGTATTTAATTCTGCTTTGTACTGTGCTAATCTATAATCTTTGGGAACTGAGAATTGAACTCACAACAGCATATTATCTACAGAAGAGTTTGCTCACTGTTGTTCCATGGTGGTATATTCATTAAGACTTAAACCATTAAACCAGTTTACCATTATAAATCCCCAGTGTCTAATCATTGAAAACTCAACATGTAAGTTGAATAAGGCTGTTTATATGAGAAACTTTGTACTAGCCATTTGCTCTTCTTCATTGCTGATTTGTTTTACACCAGCAGTTGTGAAATTTATTCAAAATGTACAGGCATAGTGTATCAGCAAGTGGTTAATCTCTGTCCAGTTGAATAATAAACTGAACTTTATTTTTTTTTTTAATTGATATCACTCCATGCAAGGCATTAAAGCCACTAAAGCACAAGGTGTTACAGGGTGTGGAGGAGTTAGGAACAGAAACATTAATGAGTGTGAAGAGAAAAGAGTAATCAGGAAGAGAGTAGATAGCAATTGACATGGCATTTAAATTTATGCAGATTAACGTTGGCTGGAAAGTATGGAGCTGGAAAGGAGTTCCAGAAGTGAGAAAAGAAACTGTTAGCAAGGAACTGAAGAGCTCATCCAAACAATTACCATAAAAGTATTTATAGTAAAGGCACAGAGGCAACCTTACGGAGGTGGGAAAGTGACTAATGCAACATCAGGACCAGTAATATTGCTAATTCTTCTTTGGATTTTATTAAGGTGCCCTAGGTAAATAGCAGGAACCATATGTGGCAGCAATATTTTAAGCATGGATGAATGGTAGACTTATAGATATGTAAGATAGATTCTGGAGAGAGAAAAATTGTCTAGCACAACACAGTGAACTGACTTTCTTGGCATCTGACCTAGCAATGGATTCAATATAGTCTTTCCACTTCATGTCAACTGAGAATGTTAGCCTGAGAAGGTGCAATGAGTCACTTTCCTGGAGGTTAGCATCAACCATAGAGAGTTGAGAGCTGATCTCATCAGGAAAGTCATTAATGAAAATTAAAAACAGTAGGATTAAGGATGGATTTCTGGGGGACACTCCTGTTTAGTACATAAGGATGTAGACAAGTGGCCATTCAGAATAATTCTCATTTTGTGAATTGATAGGAAAGACAGGATCAGTTCAAAAATGTGTCTGGAGACACTGTAAATCTTCAGATGGTGGAGGGGACCTGTATTCCAAACGCAATCAAAGGCTTTCAAGATGTCCAAAGTTACAGCCAGTGCTTCACCATGATAAACTCTTTCTGTAATCATTGTCAGTACATCAGCAATTGACCTGGAGAAATGAAAGCCATATTGTTTGTCTGAGAAAATGTCTGCGATGAGAGATGCTGAAACAATTCAGTATTGATTAGGGTCTCTAGGAGTTTCCCCAAAAAGAGGTCAAAGGCTAATAGGCCGAAAGTTGGAAGTCTTGGACAGTTCACCAGAGTTCTTGAAAACCGGAACAGCAGACAATGACTTTGAGCAATGGCATAAGTACAGTGGTGGCATCCTGCTGGTTCGTACAAACCAATTCTTAAAAATTATAAAAGCTTAGCAAACCAGTTGTTGGATTATCCAAAAATAATCTTATATATTAATAGCCGAAATATAATAACTAAAAATATAATTAATACCATTGTTGTAAGTTCTGCAGAGGCTGAAAGAGGGTTTTCTGTGATAAACAATTTATTCTCACAAAAGAAATTATCTTGAAGTTAAAAGTATGACAAATCTTCTAGTCATAAATTTGATAGGTCTGCCATTGGATCTTTGGGATTGCAACAATTGTGGCTAAAAAAACCATAACACATTATCAAAATGGTTTAATTTTTTGTTATACTGTAAAGTGATTTGTTTCCATTCTCAGATTGAAATGAAAATAAGCAGAATAGGTTCCTAAAGATTACCTGCTTTTATAGATTGCAAAGTCAGTAAATAGTAAACTTTAGTACATTACTAAGAGTCTCCAAGACTATTTCTCAACTGATAATCCAAAGTCAGGAACTCTACAGAGATTAATTATTTTATTGTGGATTTCTTTCTTCTGGTTGAATTTAGAATAATGCTTGAATAAAAAAATGTAAGTTTTTACTTGAAAATTCCAACCTGATGATCTATTTTATCACCATGACATTTAAAAAAAGATTTTGGAAGATTTTTTTCATTATTATTACAAATCCTCTTCCACAGGCCAGCATGTTGAAATTTAATTTTCTTTCAAGCATTAGTAATTTCTTTTATAAAAATGTGTTGATTGTAATTTTTTTTTTTTTTTTTTAAGACTTATTGCTGGTTATTTTTTTTACTATGTATTGCTTATATTTTTACTATAAAATTTTTTATACTTTCATAGTGTTTTGACCCCAGTTTGGGGGTTAACTATTTACCTATACCTGAGTCCTTAACAGGTGCTACCATCCTGGGTCAGGGTGGACCTAGGAACAACAGCAATTAAGAGGTGGTTCCATGCTCCTTAAAATTCCCTGATCTGAGGCCTTGCTGCCAGATATAGTTTATCATCATACCCAGGAAAGTTGTGATATGGTACTCAGCTATAATGTGATGTAAGAGTAAAAGCATTTTTTAATTTTTTTTATTTCTACATCTTTTATTTCCTAGCATCATTATTCAATCAACTAATTATTTTACATGGTTTTTCTATGAAACTTTTGTGTATGTAATATATAAGCAGCAATCTTTTATTCAGATATGTTTTATTAACTATGTTCGGACAGATTGAGCCTTTTGGTGTTGTATTAATTGGTTTATTTTAGGTGAAAGCTTGTAAAGGGGTTTGCTGAAATTAAATGTTAATCTGAATCTTTTTCGATCATTATTGGTTGTTTTTAAGGAAAGAAGATTGAAATATGAATCCATAGAAATATGGAAACAAATTTCATTAATAGTGTGTTGCTTTCTTTTAATGCAAAGGACTCCTAAAACTTGTAATTGTTTTCTACAGTTAAATTGCAGAGAACTATTGTCAATCAAAATCTCAGTGAAATTACCCAAGTCACTGTGTATTAGGGCAGGTCAATTTTGGTAGTGCACTTAATTTTGAAGATTAAGATCAAAATTCAAAATTGTAAAAATTGTAGCGTTGGAATTTCATTCTGATGATCAGCGAAAGCTTTATAGAATTTATAATTTTCTGAAGTTTTACAAATTTTATATTGACAAGATGCATGGCACAAGCACATTATTACAAAATCATTGAAGTAAATGAAGGTCTTATTTGATGGTACAAAGTGAAATTATACTGAACAATTTAGCTATATTATGATGTTGTAATATATTATACAGTGCAGAAGTTTTAGTGTAATTTTCAATAAACAATGCAAATTTAAAACATTTTATCTTATAATTTGTGCCCAGTAGTATTATATAACACTTATCTATTTTTTTGTTTTTATTAATTATGATCTAACAAATCTTATTCATTGAGTAGAATTTTTTTGTAATCTTTTACAATTTTTTTCTTATTGAATACAGTAAACAAATTACATATTTTGCTAGTGATGATTCATAATTTAAATTCTGGTTTGAATATATTTTCCATCCAATGTATCTGATACAAAAGATATCAACTTTTGAAGTCAGTTTGTAAGCAAAAACCTGCGGAAATTAGGTATTTTTCAGATAATCTTTAAACCTAAATGCTCAAAAATTGGCAAAAACTATGAATCTAATTTTTGATGTTAGTACATAGCACATCAAACCTTCACACAGAGTGCAATGTTGATTTTCTAAAAACAGTGAAAAATTAACCTGCCTTACTAGTTATGTGTGTGTATGATGAAAAACACATTTATCAAAAGAACAACAGAAATTCTCATTGTTTGGTGGGATTTGAAAGGAATTTTTGTTAAAGTCCAGCAGTTTATAACTGTTAAACTAATAGAAAATATTTTTTGCCAATGAAGTTCACTGCAGATTCCTTGTGCTACAAATGCAATGCAGCAAGTTATCATGGCACTGGGATTCTGTATCGTATCGCCTCCAGGCTCTCTTGGGGATTTTGTATCGTATCGCCTCCAGACTCTCTTGGGGATTCTGTATCGTATCGCCTCCAGGCTCTCTTGGGGATTCTGTATCGTATCGCCTCCAGGCTCTCTTGGGGATTCTGTCGTGCGCCTCCAGACTCTCTTGGGGATTCTGTCGTGACGCCTCCAGACTCTCTTGGGGATTCTGTATCGTGTCGCCTCAGACTCTCTTGGGGATTCTGTATCGTATCGCCTCCAGACTCTCTTGGGGATTCTGTATCGTATCGCCTCCAGACTCTCTTGGGGATTCTGTATCAGACGCCTCCAGGCTCTCTTGGGGATTCTGTGTCGTGTCGCCTCAGGCTCTCTTGGGATTCTGTGTCGTGTCGCCTCCAGGCTCTCTTGGGGATTCTGTGTCGTGTCGCCTCCAGGCTCTCTTGGGGATTCTGTATCGTGTCGCCTCCAGACTCTCTTGGGGATTCTGTCGTGCTCGCCTCCAGACTCTCTTGGGGATTCTGTGTCGTGTCGCCTCCAGACTCTCTTGGGGATTCTGTGTCGTGTCGCCTCCAGACTCTCTTGAGGGATTCTGTGTCGTGTCGCCTCCAGACTCTCTTGGGGATTCTGTATCGTATCGCCTCCAGACTCTCTTGGGGATTCTGTATCGTATCGCCTCCAGACTCTCTTGGGGATTCTGTATCGTATCGCCTCCAGACTCTCTTGGGGATTCTGTATCGTATCGCCTCCAGACTCTCTTGGGGATTCTGTATCTGTCGCCTCCAGACTCTCTTGGGGATTCTGTATGACGCAGACTCTCTTGGGGAGTCTGTATCGTATCGCCTCCAGACTCTCTTGGGGATTCTGTATCGTATCGCCTCCAGACTCTCTTGGGGATTCTGTATCGTATCGCCTCCAGACTCTCTTGTTACATGACATGCAGCACTCTTTGTCTGTTTGGTGACTCTAAAAAAAGTAAAATAAATATTTTTAAAAAAAGAAAAATGTCTTTGAATTATTTGATTCAAAAGTGGAATTGTTATTTTATGATGGCATATACAATTTAGCTTAGAGATATTGTTAGGTCATAGAAAGACAAGAAAACTTTGATTATTGAATAATGATAATAATAATACTAATAATAATAATACTAATAATAATAATGGGTTACCAAAAAACATGAGTGGCCTTATAAGTATCCACTGTCAATACACATATTTACCAAATATTTATAATGGAATAATAAAAACAGCTAGGGAGAAATTGAATGAATGTCAATGAAGTTTTTATTTACTTAAAAGAGAAGTTGTAAAAGTACAGGAACATGTTACATGTGTTCTCTCTGACCCTGAAAAGGAAAGCTAGTGGATGTTACAAAAGCTGTCTGTTCACAAGTCCTGTGGCACATCTTAACGGTCTATCAAAAGACTGTTCTCTCTGTTAAAATGGTGCATACTAATTGGAGAAGAAGAAGGCAAGTTAATCCAATGGTGTTAATTTCTATGAATAAATGATTTTAACTATTAAAAGAAATAATAGTAGAAACATTGGCATAAACTTCATTGTCAGTCAAAGTAAAAATAAATTTAAAATTAGGACCAATATGGAGAATATCTTCTGTGCAGCTCTCTGGCTTCTTTCTCATACTACAATTTGTTATCCAAGAATATACTAATTAAGTTACTCCCATTGATGTTTTATTGGATAAAAGTTTGTAGGATTTTTTTGTCTTTTAGAAAAGTGTTTTTTTTTTTTTTTTTTTTTGGGTTTTTTTTTCTTGACACTTTTGTCACAACAAACGTTAATATCTATAAAGATAAAACCTTCATACGAAAGATCAGATCAGTTTCTGATCAGTGGAACTAGTGAAATAAACTGTCATACCAATCTTCATCAAAAGAAAGTGATGTTGTGCATATAATAGAATTGAAGGAGTTCTTTAGTCTTTCCTGAGAAGCAAACGATTGATTTGAACAAGTACTGTTCCCAATTAGAGTAATTGAAGTCAATAATCAATGAAAAGTAAAAAGTATTAAGAATTTATTATGAGAAAGAGCATATTTCATTAAGATAATTTGGTGACCAGGTTGGCTGGAGAGTTTTCTCTCATCCATCATATTCACCAGATATCTTTCATAGTCTTTAGAGAATTTTCATAAAAAAAAAATTCAATTGCTTGGAAGACTGTGAAAGGCATTTAGAGCAGATTTTGCTCTGTGGAACAAAAATTTGTAGGAGGATGGAATTATGAAGTTGTCTGATATTGGCAGAAGATTGTTTTTCAAAAAACATTCAATAAAGTTAATTTAAAAAAAAAAAAAAGCGTATTTTTACTGAATAAACTAAATGAAGACCGTTGAACCACTGAATGTATAAAGGAACAAACAAAATCTATTATTATTATGATAGCAGTAATGATTACGGTTTGGACAATTCTGAATACACCTCACAGTTTATTGATAGTAATTTTCATTGACCATAGCAAATGGTCATGAAAGCAGGTCTAGTTTATAGCTTTCTTATTTTTGGTCATTCACCCCCACCCACTGTGTACCAATCTATAAAAACGAATCCAACATAAATCATGCTAAGTAATTTGTAGGGATTTTTATTTCTACTGATCTTAAAGTGATTTCAGTTTTGATTTCAACTGCAACAGTCATTCCTGATAAACCGGCTTCTTGTTACTTATATTAATATCAACGTGTGAAAGATAATAATCTTCCATTCCCTACTGTTTACTGTACCTACTAAGAAGAGGGAATCCTCTCTCTTTTTCTTGTTATCTTTTTGGTAACAAAAAAATAAATAAAAATAGTACGCATGGGTGCTTACAAAAATGGAGAATATCATCTATGTTTTCACTTTTCATCCTACATCTTTTAAAGTTTTATCACCCAGTTCTTGAAATGGTTTTAGTTTGATAAATCCATATCAAGTCTTCATTTAATAAACCATGTTTGATTAAAGACAAAAAATTTTAAAAATTTGTGAAAAAATTACAAGGGAACGTTGGTTAATGATCTGTGCATGTAAGAATTGTTTGTATTTGATTGAGTACTTTCTGTTCGAATTCCATTCGAATCCATTACTTTCACTTATGTGCTAATATCCTTGGGAAAAGTATTAATCCTCTTCTCCCCCCAGCTATGGGTAAATAGCAGGACAGACCGGGTTCTATAGCCTTAAGATGGCAACCTACTGCGGGAAAAATCTGCCTCGTCAGTCATGTATTGAAAAATACATCATTGCCTAAGTGTGTATCAGTGTATCATGCATAGCACATAACTGACTGACTTTCTGTTATTCTGTTAGCTGGGTTTGGTGGTTAAAACTATATAATGTGTTCAGGCTCCAAGAGGCCATCCCCACTCTGGCAATACCTCTCTTTTGGGATGGGTCCAGGGTCAGTACATGGTGGCTGAGGCATTCCCAAAAGAAGAAGTACTGAGTGGGGCTTGGATCAATGTTTACTCTGTCCACATATATGTGCCCTCATCCTTTAAACATGGCCTTGTGTCACCTTCCATTTGAGTGGGCGTACGGATAAAAATATCTACTAGCTATTACCAAGCAAGATCTTGGTAGTTAAACGTTGGTGACACGGTAATTAAGTATTTTTTTTATTGATACGGTAATTAAGTATTTTTTATATGTATTATATATTTTTAAATTTAGATTTTCCGATGTTAACATGATGTAACATACAAGGCAACATGCAAAGAAAGTTTTCAATATTTATTTCATGAATTGTACAAATATGGCAGGGAATGACTGGTCGTCATTGTCCTATCGCTAACATAGATACAATCAGTAATACCGTAATTTCTCCATGAAGTCCTCCCATATATAAAATATTTTGGTGGGAGGTGTAAACGAATGAAAAGCATGACAATCTTTAAAACATTTTCCCCAATGATTATATACAATGATATAACATTTTTTCGAAACGAAATAAAACGTCTGTTAGTATTAGAAAGCCAACAATCCTAAATGTTGAAAAAAATAATGCGGGGTTTCATAAATAAGAGAAATCTCTTCCACGGACATGCACTCAGTCACACATGCATTCAAAACATATTTGTTCAATAATAAATACAAAAAAAAAAAAGACAAAAGTCGAATGAAAATCATCTGATACCTACCAAAGAACTCTTGTCATTTAATGGAGAAGAAATTGGGGAATTAAAATAAAGAAACTAAAGACAAAAATAAAAAAAGCATTCAATACACTTACATCATCTTGCTAAGTTAAAGCAATTTAGAAACTGAAAAATCAGTAAAGGCTACATTGACCTATTACTGATTACTGATTGGTGGTGGTGGTGGGGGCTACATATGTTGAGCTAACACAAATGAAGTTCCTTTTGTGCAGGATGAATTGATTCGTTTTTTACAGTTTATCAACCCTTTGTAGATTATTTAAAGCCAAAAAATATTTTTAGATTGTAAGAATTGTTTTTCTTTGTTTTGTTTTTAGATAATAATGGTTTAGTGATACAAGTCTTACTAATTAACCCATAGCAGTGGGGAGAAGAGGTAAATTCATACCTTTTGCGAAACTGAATATAACAAAGTTAAAGAGATTTGAAACTTAAATCACTGATTAACAATTCCGAGCTACACCAACTGCACATTTAAGCTTACAGCACCTGGTATTCCCAAGTGGTCACCTATCTACGTACTGACCAGTCTCGACTTCAGTGATTGTGTGGGGGACTGGTGTTTCTATCTGATGTGGCTGTAAGCCCTCTGTGCAGGAGACATCAATCAATTGTTAAATACATAAAAAAAATCCCAGTAGCTTGATTGAAGATCGTTTTTTTTGAGTTTGTGGGATTACCCTTCTTGCTTGCCAAAGAACTTTCTCCTAATGAGAGAATTAGATAGCGTTGCCAAAAAGCAAAATATGTAATAAAAAGGGGCGCAAAAGTCTCTCTCTCTCTCTCAACCAGGATGTCTCGTTTCCCATACTCTGAGAAATATTTACGCTATAGCGAACCACATGCTGCATTGAATACAATAGTATATACTGTATATACAGATGTCGTCAGCTTACTTGACTATATCCAGGTATATTCTAATAATAATTCTACCAAACCAACAAAGAACTCTTATCAAATGTAAGTCTCTCATAAGAACTTTAAACACACGTATGCACCAAGAAAGTCATCTCTGTACACACACCTTCAGTCACCTCATTTTGAATTCCTTCTCTCTTGTTTGCTCAGGCAATAACATATGGAGTTAAATGTACGTAATTATTTATATATTCTTAGCCGCTTGTTTGAAGAAACTTGAATGCGCCCACTGTCAACTAATATTACTACACTCTTTTTCTCACACACTCCTTTCAACAATCGTACCTGTTCATTATTAATTTTTATAAAAGATTCAAGACTTTAAACTTTGAAAGTGTTTAGAGTAGGTACCTCCAAAGAAAAGCGATTTAAAAAAAAATCTTTTTTGAAGCTTTTATTTTAGTTTTAATTTTAAGCTAATAGATTAAGTTTAATATTTCCAATAAGCAAAATACTTTCCTGTATTTCAAACTGAATTTAAATTGATATTTTTTAAATCGCTAGAATCAGCCATATTGACAAATCTATCAAGCAATCTAATATTTTACTGAATTTTACGTACTTCGTCTTTATAGTCTAAATTACGAAGACATTCGTTGAGGAAATGTCAGAAAATTTTCAATAAATTTTAACTTTACCACCATATTTACCGCTTTTTCTTCTTTTCTTTTTTTTTTTTTTTTGATAATTTCGTGTGTCTCTATTTACAAAAATCGACACGTTTCGTTTATACACACATAAAATCAAATCAAAATTATTTTAAAAATATTAGTGTTATAGACAAGCGTATGGTTGTAAGAAGGAAATACAACAACAGCAG